GGTAGGACTGGATAAGTCTGACTTCTTCCTACTCCATTCAAACATGTAATAGGTGTAAGCAAACTGATTTTGGATTAGCATTGGTTGGATATGTGTGTGTTGCTGTCATTTGTTCTGTTTTGCATGTTTGAAAGAATAAATCAAATCAAATCAAAAATCAGTGGTTAGTACAAGTACCAAAAGTGGCTTAGGGAAGGACAAACAGTGAATCGGCAACAGGGTCATTGGCACCAAAGGTTCACTGATACGTGTTGAGAGCAAAGGCTAGTCCATGTTGTCCAATCCCACAGGAGAGCTACTGGAGCACAAATTGCTGGAAAACACAATGCTGGTTCTGATAGAAAGGTATCAGAACACACTACAGAAAGAAAGCAAGCCAGCAAAGGCACTGTGATGCTTTGGGCATTGTTCTGCTGGGAAATCTTGGGTCTTGCCATTGATTTGGATGTTACTGTGACATGTACTGTACCAACTACCTAAACATTGTCAGAGGCCGAGTACACCCCTTCATGGCAGCCGAATACCCTAATGGCAGTGACCTCTCTCAGCAGGATAATGCACCCTGCCACACTGCAAAAAAGGTTCAGAACTGGTTTGAGGAGCACAATAGCAATTTCAAGGTGTTGAATATGCCTCCAAGTTCCCCAAATCTCAATATAATTGAGTATCTGTGGGATGTGCTGGATAAACAAGTCCAATAAATGGGGGCCCCACCTCACAACTTACAGGACTTAAAGGACCTGCTGCTGGTGTCTTGGTGCCAGATATCAAAGGACGCAATTGACCTGACTGTCAAAATACATCATGGGTGACAGGCACAATGCATCCAAAGTTGGACCTTGTTCTTGACTCTTGAAGCCTGATGGATGTGCTTTGACAGATATGAAATTATACTTTAGGTTAGATTTAATAGATGTAGGCTAGATATATTAAAATAGCATTTGTTTTATTGAGGATTAGTGATTATTATGACCTCATTTAACATCCACAGTGGAAATGGGGAGCTCTCCAGTCAGCTAGCTTGCAGCTCGCTAATACTTATTCCACCTGCTGCTGCCATAATATTACAGCAATGTTCACTGTACCAGAGTTCAAACATGACAAATCCTGGATGCCCACAGGCAGTTTGAAATATGCATCTGCTCTGTGCTGACACAGAGAACCCATAGTAAAAGTAAGTTAGCTAGTTAGCTGTTAGTAGGCTGCTGCCTATTTAGCTTTAGGGACTGAATATCATCACGATTTTTGTCAGAACTTAAGATCATGAATTTAGTTTATCCCACAGTATGTGATCATTATTTTGTCATTACATTAGTGGAAAAACTCAGCTGCCACAATAAAGTCTGTGTTCATCTAAAACTGTGCTTTTACTGTATGTTGCTGTTAAAGCTATTAGGCATCAAACAGTTTTTATTAAGCAACAAGCTGCACCATACTGACATACAGTATGTTTTAATGTACTGATATATATACAGTGCCTTGCGAAAGTATTCGGCCCCCTTGAACTTTGCGACCTTTTGCCACATTTCAGGCTTCAAACATAAAGATATAAAACTGTAATTTTTTGTGAAGAATCAACAACAAGTGGGACACAATCATGAAGTGGAACGAAATTTATTGGATATGTCAAACTTTTTTAACAAATAAAAAAACTGAAAAATTGGGCGTGCAAAATTATTCAGCCCCCTTAAGTTAATACTTTGTAGCGCCACCTTTTGCTGCGATTACAGCTGTAAGTCACTTGGGGTATGTCTCTATCAGTTTTGCACATCGAGAGACGGAAATTTTTGCCCATTCCTCCTTGCAAAACAGCTCGAGCTCAGTGAGGTTGGATAGAGAGCGTTTGTGAACAGCAGTTTTCAGTTCTTTCCACAGATTCTCGATTGGATTCAGGTCTGGACTTTGACTTGGCCATTCTAACACCTGGATATGTTTATTTGTGAACCATTCCATTGTAGATTTTGCTTTATGTTTTGGATCATTGTCTTGTTGGAAGACAAATCTCCGTCCCAGTCTCAGGTCTTTTGCAGACTCCATCAGGTTTCCTTCCAGAATGGTCCTGTATTTGGCTCCATCCATCTTCCCATCAATTTTAACCATCTTCCCGGTCCCTGCTGAAGAAAAGCAGGCCCAAACCAGGATGCTGCCACCACCATGTTTGACAGTGGGGATGGTGTGTTCAGGGTGATGAGCTGTGTTGCTTTTACGCCAAACATAACATTTTGCATTGTTGCCAAAAAGTTCGATTTTGGTTTCATCTGACCAGAGCACCTTCTTCCACATGTTTGGTGTGTCTCCCAGGTGGCTTGTGGCAAACTTTAAACGACACTTTTTATGGATATCTTTAAGAAATGGCTTTCTTCTTGCCACTCTTCCATAAAGGCCAGATTTGTGCAGTATACGACTGATTGTTGTCCTATGGACAGAGTCTCCCACCTCAGCTGTAGATCTCTGCAGTTCATCCAGAGTGATCATGGGCCTCTTGGCTGCATCTCTGATCAGTCTTCTCCTTGTATGAGCTGAAAGTTTAGAGGGACGGCCAGGTCTTGGTAGATTTGCAGTGGTCTGATACTCCTTCCATTTCAATATTATCGCTTGCACAGTGCTCCTTGGGATGTTTAAAGCTTGGGAAATCTTTTTGTATCCAAATCCGGCTTTAAACTTCTCCACAACAGTATCTCGGACCTGCCTGGTGTGTTCCTTGTTCTTCATGATGCTCTCTGCGCTTTAAACAGACCTCTGAGACTATCACAGTGCAGGTGCATTTATACGGAGACTTGATTACACACAGGTGGATTCTATTTATCATCATTAGTCATTTAGGTCAACATTGGATCATTCAGAGATCCTCACTGAACTTCTGGAGAGAGTTTGCTGCACTGAAAGTAAAGGGGCTGAATAATTTTGCACGCCCAATTATTCAGTTTTTTATTTGTTAAAAAAGTTTGAAATATCCAATAAATTTCGTTCAGTATTTGTTTGTCTGTTGCTACTGGACATGCAGCCTTTCAATCAAGATCAAAGATTTGTATTGTTAGTTTACTATATACATACAGAAAATCAAAATACTGTTTGTCTCTCACCTAGTATTGAATGCCCATATCATTTAAGAAACTAAAGAAAATGCATATTGCCACCAGTGTGGAGAGTCTTCCTGATGATGGTGACAGTGGTGTACAAACAACAACAGGACAGCAATTAAACTAATTAAATAATACTATATCTCTAAGTAGGTCAGAGAGAAAGGCGGGATGAAGCAAGCTCTGGGCAAGGAGGTGTCAGGGCCGTTTGGCACGACCTGCCTCTCTTCCACCTTTCTCTCCTCTGCTCTCTCGATCCTGCGGGCTCTACACCTCAGCTGTGTTGCATTCCAGTAATTAGCGACTCGTTTATCGGTGCACACAGCTGGGGTGCATCCCGATGATTACCTGTCCTCCTTATTTATACCTCTGGCAGACACTCCGTCATCGCCAGAGCATTACCTTACTTACCTTACCTACCTTACCTAACTCACCTAACTCACCTAACTCGTATACCCCATAACAGACCTATTTTCATGGTATGTATTATACGTCATTTTGTTTTCCACGCTGACAGTTCCTGTGCTGTGGATCGCATTTTGTACGTTGGTTATTTGTTTTGTGTTATATGTCTCTGGACATTCCACGCTGACAGTTCCTGTGCTATGGATGTCTTTTTTTCGTCTGCCAATCCTCCTGGTTAGTCGTCTATTCACCTGTTCGTCCTGATCCTCCCACTCTCCTAGTTTCTGCCGTTAGCTTGTCTACTCCCCTGGTCGTCCTGGTCTCCTCCACAATCTCTGCCCTACTTTGCCCTTTCTGTACATGGACTCTGATACGTTTTGTTGTTAGTGTGCATTTCCCACCATTAAACCTTTTTTTAACTAGCACCTGGGTCGGCATTCTTGAGTCCAACCTCAGTTCTCCCTCACCCTCCTGGTGAGGGGGACTAACCTTAACAGGAGGAGCTATAGAGGGTATAAAAATAATGTCTCAAGCTCTGAGGTTCTGCCACATGGACCATCAGACAGAGTGAATGTCAATTGGCTATACAACGCAGTAGAGATAACTTGTGTGGTGAGTGCACTGGAGGAAAATACAGATAACCGATCTCAACAAATGATGAACTAGCACACTCCCTCACTGAGGTGTACACAATGGGCTGCAGGACACACATCTCAGGGAACAGATTCACAGCTGGACTAAGACCTAGATAAGGGGTGCCTTTGTTAGATCAAGGCATAAATGATTTAAGTAGATGCGAAAAATACTTTTTTTGGGGTCTAGAAAAGCAAAATTCAGGATTTGCAGCAATAAGTAAAGTGATGGTCGATGGCACTCTGAGGATCACAAAATAAAATCACAATTTTTGACTACATTTTATCAGAACTTGTATTTGTCAGCCTCTTTGATGCCTAACATTGAAACCTCCTTAACATTTCAGAGAATAGAAGGAAGATAAGTGATGAGCTACAGTATGTGAAGAAGAGATCTCTCTACCTGAAATTACTGCATATGTTACATATCCTAAAGATAACAAATTCCCAGGTAATGATGGTATGACCAGGGGAATTTTATAAATCCTTTACTTCAGAACTGGAACCTTTTCTTTTCAGTATGTCAGTATCTCTTTATTATCTCAGCTGGTCCAAAATATAGTGTTAATCTAATGTTAGTAGTTAACACAGAAGCAGGCTGCTAGCACTCAGTTCAACAGTGAGCCAAGCCTAGCATTTCTTGTCATATACACTATCTATGCTTGGCTGTTATACTTCAGCAGAAGTAAGTGTCTCATACCATCTTGTAACATTTGATATTAATATCAGTATCACTTTATTTTTGCTCAAGGCTAAGTTAGCCATTAGCACAAGGTTAGCTTTAGTAGTGAACCGATTGTAACTTAAGTTAACACTAGTTGTTAAACACGTCCTCCTCTCATTGTGATGTAACAACACATAACAGAATGACTGATGTCTTTACCATCAAGTGCAAGGGTAACTTAGTGGGCCCCTTGACAGACATCTTCTCCCACATTCCCCTTCTAACATAGTGCACCGTGGTCCCGGCCATCTCAAACTCTCCTGGAAGCTCAATCTTCCAGTCGCTGTTGATGGACCTCTTACTGGAATCTTTCAGGGCTATAAGGAAGACAAAGAAAGTAAGAAGCCACACTTTTCATGCACAAAACCTGCCTCAGATTGGAACAATGAACACCCGTTCCCATTTGTGAGTCGTTCTGTACACTTCAAAAGTTGTTGTATTTTCAGTACACTGGAGGTTCATCAGGCCTGACAGTGACAACTGATCTGAAATGGCTACAAGTTCAAATTCAGATTTATTTGTATAGCGCCAAATCACAACAAAAGCCGTCTCAGAACACTTTAGAAATTCAGGTCTAGACCTTACTGTTATCACTATTATAGAGGAAAACCCAACAAATCCCCCTTGAGCAAGCAATTGGTGACAGTGGGGAGGAAAAACTTCCTTTAATGGAAGAAACTTCTGACAGACCCCGGCTCTTGGTGGGCGGCCTTCTGCCTCGACCGGTTGGGGTGAGTGGATAGAGGAGAGACAAAAGAAGAAAAGCAACAAGACACAGCAAACAATCAAACACTGGTCAGGTTGATGTGGCTGGTGACTGCTCATCAGAAACATAGAGCTCCAGAGCCAGGGCAACCTGCAGAAAGGTACAGGGAGAGAGAGAGGACACACTACGGGGGAGAGAGAGAGGACACACAGTTAGTGACGAATAATGGGGGTATGTAAATGCATGAAGAGACAGGAGAGAAACTCAGAGCATCGTGTATGTCCCCCAAGGGAAGGTTCAGGGTCATCTGATCCAGCCCTAACTATAAGCTTTATCAAAAAGGAAAGTCTTAAGTCTAATCTTAAAGGCAGAGAGGGTGTCTGCCTCCCGAACTGAGACTGGGAGCTTGATAGCTAAAGGCTCTGCCTCCTACTCCTGTGGACTCTAGGAGCCAAAAGTACGTAAACCTTCACTCTGAGAGCCAAGTACTATGTTGGGATGATAAGGCTCTACGAGGTCTTTAAAGCTGTATGATGTTTACTACATAAACTAAAACACAATTAGTTTAATTGTGGTTAACCTCTCAGGAATGAAGTAGTGATGACTGATTATTGACTGAGATTGTTGACTTAGTCAATTATAAACTTATTCCAACTTGTATATCATAAGCTATCTGAAGTATTACAATTTTATTTTAAAATTGTGTGTCGAGTCCTAGAAACTTAACTAATGTCAGCTAAACACTGCACAATAAAATTATGGTCATATGTGGTCACTGTCATGGCTTTTATAAGTTATTTCAGAAGAAACTTAACACTTCTTCAAAAAGCCAAAGTACATTGGCTTCTAAAACTTTCTCAGTAAAGTAACATCTGAAAGTATAAGGAGGTCTAGTTGCCAGTAACTGCAGCCTGTTATTATTTTGGGAGGATCTGGGGTCTTGTCCTGAATTAATAACATGAAAGAGGGAGGTCTGCCAGGAACTCAGTTCACAGGTTCATGGTAGTCAATTACTGACTATCTCCGCCTAGAAACCTCAAGCAACATTTGGAGCTTGGATAGGTTTCAAATGTGCCAACTTAGTGTGAGAGGCTAAGCTATGTTCCTATGTCCAGGGGTTAGCAAATTGTGGCTGTCAAACAGGATCTGAACTGATGTAGTTTGTGGAGGGAGACAGATGCAAAGGAGATAATGGTCACACAGCAGACCGTGAAGCTGCTGCATTAGATAAATCACCACAGTTAGTTCTTAGCTGTCAGCCTAACAAGCTGGCAGACTGTGGGCAAAGCTTACATTTTTGTTTCTCTGCAAGTTCATGATTCTAAAAGGGTTTTTTTTATATAGTTGTTGATCTTTTTAATCATTCAAATTTGTCTAGATGGTTAACAGCACGTCTTCCTGTGGTGTGACAAACTCAGAGCAGATATTTATTTCCACTTTGCCCTGACTTTAATAGCCTAACACAAATGAATTCTGAAAATAATGGTGTGACATCAGTTCTATGATTGCATCGATTCAGTAGCTTTTCAGTCGCATGTTGTGAACTACAGCAGTAGTCCACTAATCGTGTGTTGAAACATCAAAATGTAATACAGCCATATTTTCACTGCAAAGCTTTTCAAGAAAAAAAGAACAGCTGAAAAAAACTGCAAGCAAAGTTGAAATGAGGGCTCAGCACACACAGGATTAATGCGCTCCTGTAATCTGACTTCTTCTGTATAACAGAAAGAACACGTGCTCTAACCACCCAGTCTAAAGTGTGTAGAGGTTAGTGTGGTTATTGTGTAGTAGTGTGGTGTCATTGCTCATGGTTTAATTAAAGTAAACGCTATGGATAGTTGTGTGTAATGGCACCGCACTCGGGTGTGGCACTTTTCAAATCAGAGGTCATAGATTTATGTATCAATATCACTGTATCTGCCTTCAGATGCTACAGGAATTTAATAGACTGGATGAGAAGCTTTTCAGACAGTATAAAGCAGCTGTGGGCAACAGATCATGTCAAGAGTGGCCTTTTATTGTGGCCAGCCTAAGGCACACCTTTGCAATAATCATGCTGTCTAATCAGCATCTTGACATGCCACACCTGTGAGGTGGATGGATTATCTCGGCAAAGAAGAGGTGCTCACTAACACAGATTTAGACAGATTTGTGAACAATATTTGAGAGAAATAGGCCTTTTGTGTACATAGCACAAGTCGTAGATCTCTGAGTTCAGCTCATGAAAAACGGGGGCAAAAACAAAAGTGTTGCATTTATAATTTTGTTCAGTGTATATTGTTGTTTACCTATCTATGGAGGAGATATTCAAATTGATTAATGCTGTTGCGGTTCATCATGCTTTCATATTCTGGCTCAAACATGTCAGGCAGGATTTAAGGTATTGTCATTGTCAGAAATGTAAATTATTTGTCAAAGTAAACAATAAATGCAAATAAATTTGGTCTTGAGACAAACATCTGGCAGGGCTTTGAAGCTGAACTTGTCAATAAAAAGACCCTTTTGTTTATTCATTTCTGCTCAAGGAGGTATGTTTCTGCTTGCCATCCACAACCTTACTGCTGCATTGCTTCCTGATTTCCCAAACTACAGGATGCACCAAGGGTCATAATCACAGAATGTGCCAGCATTAATTGCACACCAAAACATTTTGTGGAGACAAAAGGAATTCATGTTAGCGTGTTATTATTGCATTAATTTTGACAGCCCTAGTTCTCTTAATTATGAATTCATATCGATAAATGTAGAAGGTGACAGATTTAGTAGTCATCAATATCCAGGATACTAGTTTTTATCATATATATACGGGGATATGTATAACCAGATTTCTGTGTGTTCCATGTAAACAGCATATTCTGAATATCATCAAAACTGGGATACTCTTAATAACTGGAATACTCATGTCTATGTAAATGCACTCTATGAAAGCTCACTAGTTCCAACCAGAAATCCTCCAAAAGATTTTCTTCAAGCAAACACATGAAGTGATTATTCTCAAGGTTTTTAAGTATACTCTGTAAACACATGCATTATTACCCAGAAAGCTAGGTGAAGGCTTGTCCTCCAAAACTGTGATCCTCCTGGCTCCTGCAGGGATAACCACAGCCTCAATGTAGCCTAATGGAGAGAGGGAAACACAAGGTGAAAACACATTCAAAGGCATGTGTAGTGGTTAAAAATAAACAAGGTTCCAGAGGGAATATGTAATAGAACAGTATGTAGTTTATATAAAGATATTATTTGTACTAGTTGTGTAAGGGTGAGCTGAGTGGTTATACAGTAGGTCCATTAAGCTCATGTGAGCTGAACAATGAGCTTATATAAGTTGGTCAAGATGTTTCCTGTTTTTGAAGTACATCTCAGGGTGTTGTCTCCCGAAACTGGAGACAGGAAGCTAAGTTCAGAAATTGATGTAACAGCCTAAGGATAGCTGCGGATAAAAGAGTGAGCCTGAAGGGTTGGAGGAGAAGAAAAGAAGAGAGGATGACAATGCTACTGTGAAAAGTGTTCCGGGGACCCAGGCCTGGGTGGGGAAACGAACTCAGGACTACTAACTCTAACTGACGGTACCTCATGACAGAAACTGACTAGACTGACTGGCGCTTTTGACAATTTTCTTATTTAATACTTTATCACATTGCAGGAGTGACTCTGGTCTTCGTTCTCTGTTCCCTATCAGATTATTTGTTTCACTGCTACTCTGTTCAGAATAATTGTAATATTAAATGGTCATTTAAATTGGGATGATCTGTCTGAATTAATTTAGTCAACATTACACTCTAGTCACGACACATGCCGGAAAAGAACATGGAACAAGTGTAGGCTGGTGACATCTGTGTCTATATCAGAAATGCTCTATTCACTGCACAACTAAATTCAGTCCTTCATAGATTTATATATCTAGTGCTGGAAGAAGTACTCAAATTCTTTTCTTAAATAAAAGTATAAATACCACAGTCTAAAAATACTTTCTTACTGCAAAAAGAATGTTACTTTAGTAAAAGTACAAAGAAGAGTTTTTCATAGCCTGGATAGTTTAATAACATATGAAAAAAAAACCCTTCGTAGTGCCAGAACCACATATTATTCATCACTGATAGAGGAAAATAAGAACAACCCCAGGTTTCTTTTCAGCACTGTAGCCAGACTGACAAAGAGCCACAGTGCTGTTGAGCTTAATATTCCCTTAGATCTCAGCAGCAATGACTTCATGAGCTTCTTTACAAATAAAATCACAACTATTAGAGAAAAAGTTTATCAAATCATTCCTACAACTCTCACCGACATGCCATCAAGTACAACGGCTTTAGAAACATCTGTCAGACCTCATTTATACTTAGACTGCTTCTCTCCCATTGATCTCTTTGAGTTGCCCTCAACAGTTACTTCATCTAAATCATCAACATGTCTCTTAGACCCCATCCTGACCAGGCTGCTCAAAGATGTCTTGCCCCTCATCAACACGTCCATACTAGATCTGATTAACCTCTCTGCAAAAATAGGAGAAAAGGTGTTTGGCAGGAGCTGTGTGATGTTTAGGAGCTCTTCTCTAGTGAATGTAACCCAAGATGGGTCGCAGAAAACCCAGAAAACATAAAATCAACTAATACACTTGTAAGTGTACAACCAAGGCAGCCATCTTGGACAATTCCTCTGTGTGCTAACTGGTTATGATAAGATCCAGGGCCAGGGAGCCCTAGAATGCACAGACATAAAGGGAGACGAGACAAGAGAGAGGAGTAACTGCTGTGGAGCGTTTGAAGGCCACGATATGCTAACCCCTGGACATAGGAATAAAGCTTAACCTCTCACTCTAAGGTGGCATATTTGAAACATATTAAAGCTCCAAACACTGCTTCAGGTTGTATGACGGAGATATTCACTCAGTAATTGACTACCATGAACCTATGAACAGAGTTCCCTGCAGACCTCGCTCTTAAATGTTATTAATTCAGGATAAGACCCCAAACCTCCTAAATAACAACAACCTGCAGTTTATTGTGGCAGCTACCTCCTTAAACCCTCAGATGTCACTGTACTGAGAAATTTTTATAAGCCAGTACTCTCTGGCTCTTTGAGGAAGTGTTAAATTTAGTCTGAAATAACCAATAAAAGCTGTGTCACTGGACACTTAAGACCATATTTGTTTTTCACAGTATTTAGTTGACCTAAGATGTTATTATGGATAGGATGTTTAAAGAATAGTGTGTATTATGTAACATGTAAACAGTTGAATATTTTAGATAAACCCTCTTCTGATGAAGCTGTCTAAAAGTCATTTTAGCAGTTCAGTCTGGGCCTTCTGTCAACCCTGTGAACTGTTATGCCACCTCACACACTCACTAAGACTTATGTAACCCCAACTCACAGGGAATTGGGTAACCAAACACTGAGAAATGTGTGTCTTAACCATTACCACTGAAAAGTGTTAACAAAATTATAGCAATGTCAATAACATCAAACTCGACTCAGTAACCACAGAGAGTATTAAACCTTTTCAGGAATTTTATATAGAAGCTTAACAGAGCTACAGCAAAGCAACAAGCAATAAAATATAAACCAAGCCATTTAATATAAATCTTAAAATCATGAATAATTGGTTTCCAATCTAAATAAATCAACAACTACCAATTCTATTCATAAATTTAGAATGATCATACTGATTAAAATCATTATGGTTGAGCTAAGCTCTTGAGCTGAATAAAAGTCAAAGGTCTCATGTCACCGATCCTCAGCTGGCTCTGGGCAGGCGGTGGCCGATTGGGCAATGCTTGTTCCTCTTTTTCCTTTTTGCCATGATTCAAGCTTTCACAAGGGAAAAGAATTTTTCAAATAAAAATCAGAGCTCATCCGGTTCAATCCTCAAAACTCTCGAAGAGAGAAATGGGACTAATTCAGATAAACAATGTTTTTTTTTTTGTCTAATCTTGGGTAACTAAGGAAAGCATAAAAGACATGAAAATGTCTAAAGCTGTCTTCTTTTGGTCCAAATCTTCATAAAGACATGAAAATGTTTAAAACTGTCTTCTTTTCAAGACATCCTTCCCCCACCAGGGCAGGTGGGTTTTGGCTTTTTGTTAAATTCATGATTTCTTCCTTAATCAGCTTTGAAGCAGGAATGAATTCAGTTTCCCTGCTAAACTGTGAGGCTCTGCTGTAGTTTCATCATCCCACGTTGGCATGCTTCCTCCTGTTTCGACAGGCCGATGCCTGTTCTCAAACACCTCGAAAAGGGGCTCACTCCCTCGTCGGCATGCTTCTCTGACAGGCCGATGCCTGTGCCTAAGCACCCAGGGAAGGGGCTCACTCCCTCGTTGGCATGCTTCTCACCCCCACAGGCCGATGCCTGCGGGGGAGCCCCCCCGGAGGGGTGCCCTCTCCCCGGACTGCTTCTCCACAGTCCTCGGTTTCCTGGAAGTCAGATGGTCAACTGGACAGAGCCTCCGGCCGCAGCTGTGAAAAAGACCTTCGTTCCTCTTTTTGCCTCAGTTTTTATAGGATTCTTGGTCAGTTGTCCTTGTCCACTCATCCAACCAGATGCCGCAGTTTGCAGTTGATACCTTATTTGGCGTGCAAAATCATATCCTGAAGTATTGCATATTTTTTTTACTGTCAGTCCAAGCCCAATGCCCGTAACTGGCCTCCGCCCCACCGTGATCCAGCCTTGGATTCTAGTTCCTCTTTTCTAGAAAACTAAACCATCTGAATACATAACAAAAATACAAGAAACTCATCTGACTGAAATACCAAAATTCCATCATTGCTTTTTAACAGAACAATCAGAATCACACACTAGTTTCACACAAAACTATCATTGCTTTAAAATCAGAACATAAATTTTTATATTTTGAATACTTTACTGTGACTAAACATGGATTATCATTGATTAGACATTGATCAAACAATCATCAGTCAAATCTTTACTTTTGTGCTTAAACATAATTTTTGTTACTTCCTCAATACGGTGTGTGTCTCTTCTGTGTGGCAGGCACACACGAACCTTTGCAGTTCCTCATTTTAGGGATGTGTGTCTACTTCCTCTTGTGTGGTTCTGTACTTTCCACTCTGTTATATGTAAAATCAGTCTTCCCCGTCCTTTCAATACAACCATTTCACATTTTATCTAACACATTCACTAATGATTATGTCAAACAAAACACGCAAATTATTTTATGATTATCTTTACTTATTTAAAGCTTAACTTTTCTAAGCATTCTGCCACAGCATTTTAATGATAATTCCTTCGTCCTTTCCAACCTCCCCTGGAACTTCCTCTTTCTCCTCTGCCTTCTCTGTATCTCGGTGCTCTTCGAGGCCCATATTCACAGCCTCGCTGACAGGAGGTTTCATCAGATTAGAAGATCATGCAAGAAAGTAGTTGTCTGGATGACCCTGTTTTTGTTCACATGGTGCATAGTCCTTCAGCTGTTCTTGCTCTGGCAGATGTTGCTCCACCTGGTATTTTCAGATTTACTGGTGATATTTCTCCAGAACCATTAAGATCCTAGATAGAGTATTCTTTGATGTCTCTCAAATGTTTCATTATTTTGGGAGTTACTGAGTACATCTGGCTATGTTGCCATTGCCCAGTGGGCTTTTTCTATGTGCCGATCTTTTACACTGAGGATATCAATGTTCTCTCTAAGCACCTCCTCCACAAAAGCAATCACTAACCTGTGTCTGCCTTTAGCTCCTTTAAGGTGGAACTTCTCATTCTCCCTTTTGTGAGTGGCTCTCTTGATATCTTAGCTTTCACCTGCACTGCTTTTCTGTGCAGGGTCTCCTCAGTCCCCACAATTCTCACTTCTGCTTCATATAACCTCAAACTAGTGTCTTCAATTTCATCAGTTTCTTCAAGCTGTCTGCAAATCATAAATCCCTATGGAGATCTGAGTTAGTTTCACAAATTCTTCCCCACCATTCATTCTATTGCCATCAATACTAGCTGTGGGGGAGTAGCACCCTCATGTTGTTACACTTCTTTGCTTTTATCTGTGTTTTGAGCAGACATTTTACTCTTCTGCATAAATGCCATCATTGCCCCTGTTGTTAATAAAGTAAAAAACAAAGTAGTAAACTAGTTATTTTGACTTTTCTTTTACTTCGTCTGAGAAACCATGTGTCCATCCCTTTAGTTATCCAGATATGCTTTCTTTCTTTTTCTTTAACCAAAATCCGATATCAACACCATTTTCCAACAATGGCATACAGTATACTGGTTACATAGATACTAAAACATGCACTCACCCATTCCTTTGGTGTGGTTGAATTCACCTTTGACTATCGTACAGGAGTGTCCATCTCCATTACAAACACCACAGCGGTCCTCTGTAGCTGAAGAGCCAATAATGCCATCACAGCCAATTTTCTGCTCACAAGAAAACAATATATACAATATATTGTTTATATACAATATAAACAACAGTAGGATGAAAGGCTGATAAGTTGCCTTTGTAAAGTGTGTATCTATACTACAGTGGGTACGGAAAGTATTCAGACCCCCTTAAATTTTTCACTCTTTGTTATATTGCAGCCATATGCTAAAATCATTTAAGTTCATTTTTTTTTCCTCATTAATGTACACACAGCACCCCTTATTGACAGAAAAACACAGAATTTTTGACATTTTTGCAGATTTATTAAAAAAGAAAAACTGAAATATCACATGGTCATAAGTATTCAGACCCTTTGCTGTGACACTCATATATTTAACTTAGGTACTGTCCATTTCTTCTGATCATCCCTGAGATGGTTCTACACCTTCATTTGAGTCCAGCTGTGTTTGATTATACTGATTGGACGTGATTAGAAAAGCCACACACCTGTCTATATAAGACCCTACAGCTCACACTGCATGTCAGAGCAAATGAGAATCATGAGGTCAAAGGAACTGCCTGAAGAGCTCACAGACAGAATTGTGGCAAGGCACAGATCTGGCCAAGGTTACAAAAAAAAATTCTGCTGCACTTAAGGTTCCTAAGAGCACAGTCGCCTCCATAATCCTTAAATGGAAGACCGCAACCACTCCTGACTGCACTTAATTGCATACACCACATCACTCTGTTTGTGTCTGGGTGTTTTGTCCTTCGGGTGGACCAGTCTCTACCACAGGGTGTTCCCTGGTTTACAGTTAACTGGGATATTGTGGTTGTGAAAGATCCTTTTTAATTTCTCTGATAAACCAGCCACATAAGGGATGACAGT